CAAGATACTCATGTAATGGTACAAGATCCCAATGATGAATGTAACTGTATTTTATACCTAAAATGTACCAATAAACTTAATGGGGGAAAAAAAAAGATATAAATCACTTCCTTGAAATGACGCCTCTGTTCTTAGCCAGGGGGATATAGACCATGCTGTAAGTAGAAGTGACAGCCTCTTCACTTTTTAATTTTAATGTTCATTGATTAGTGACCTAATAAAGCAAGTTTTATGTTTGAAGATCGCACAAGCTTAGAATAAGTTTACAGTAGACTGAATGAAGCACAGTGAAACTTTTCACCTTCACTATCCTTCAAAATGTAGAGCTTCGTGGAAAATGTGTTCCATGTGTGCTACTCCAAAGCCTTATGTATCTTTTAAGAAGTTTATTTGTTCACGAATTCTACGAAGATTAGAAGCTACTGTAGCCCAGACACTGCGAATGCAGAGGTGAGAACAACAATGAACAAGACACAGTTCCCGGACTTGGGGGATGAGCTCCAGCCTGGAGAGAGAACAGTTACAAGAGTCTGGGGAGGGCTGTCCCGAGAGACGCTCAGGTGCTGCAGGGGAAGCCGGAGAACTGGAGCAGTCCAGAAAAGTCTCGGAAGGAGTCACTTCTGTCTCAGCCAGGAGGATGGAGACAGTGCTCTAAGTAGAAGTAACAGCTTGTTCCTCGGCTTGAAGGTGACAGAGGGCATGCGAGATTAAGGAAGTGCAAGTTGTTCCTTGTGTCTACAGCACTTACAGAGGAGACGCAATGAAGCTTGAGAAGTAAATAGAGCCCGGCCATTCAGACATTTTATTAGTTTTCCTATGTGGCACATCCTGTTTGTGGGGCTGGGAGACAGAACGGATAAAGCAAATTTCTTATCCTCAAAATTTTCATGATGGGGAAACCAGAAAAAACCCCCCACATATGTGTTATGCTAGGTATTAGAAGGGGTTAGATGTTACAAATAAGGCAGGTAAAGATGAGAGTGAACACAGGTGGAGGGAAAGAGAGAGAGAGAGAGAGAGAGAGAGAGAGAGGTGCTGCTGCTGTTGTTGTTATTATTATTATTTTCCTAGCATCAGACTAAGGCACACTTGAACAGGGATCTTTGGGAAGATTACCTTGAGGGAGGTAATCCACGTGGGTCTTTGGGGAAAGCACATTCTAGGTGAGGAGAAAGGCAAGTATGATGTTAAAAGGGTTGGTGAGTTAAAAAAAGATTTAGAGGCTGATGTGGGTGTAATAGAGTGAATTAAGAGAATAGTAGGAGGTTAAGTTGGGATGGTAGAGAACAACACCCACACAGATCCCTTTGGAAACTGTTAAAATAAGTGAATATTCCCTGGAAAGGACAAAAGGCTACTGGGGCATGTTGAACAGAGAAAGTGACAAGATCTGCCTTATGGATTAAAATAACCATTGCTATGGTTGAAAATAAACTGTAAAGTAGACGTGGAAGAAGAAAGACCCTCCAGAAGGCTATCCATGAATTATTTCTGGTCCAAGATTATGGCTAGCATCATGGAGGTAGCAGTAGAAGAGATATAAGTGGCTGGCCTCTAAATTTTCTCATAGGTTGGATATAGAATAGGAATGACAGAAAGGAGTGAGGTATAACTCCAAGTGTTTTGTCTTAGTAACTTGGAAAGTAGAGTTATTGGGTTAGGGAAGATCATAGGTGAGCATTTTTTCCCCTTGATTTTGGACATGCTGAATCTAAGATGATTTGACTATATATATGTCACATAGGCAATTATATTAGTGTGAACTATAAATATTAATATGAGATCTGACAGCATACAGATGACATTTAAAACCATGATATTAGATGAGATAACCAAGGATGGGAATGTGAGAAAGAAAAAAGTTCTGAAAATGAAGCCTTAAGAGATTCCAACATATGGAAATGAAGATTAACAATAATTGAGAATGAAAATATTGTCAAATATGACATCATTCTTATTAAATAACCAGTACTAAAGTCACTTAATAAACTCTCCATAGGTATGAAAACTACTTCTGTTTTCTTCCTGGACCTGATATTAGCTACAGCGCCCAACTCAACTGAGTAATAACAATGTCTCATTGAAACACATATGTGCTTTAAACTTGAGAATTAATGGAAATAACCAAGGTGGAGATAATTAACTTTCTGGACTAAGGTGTGACATGATACGTATACCACTTATTTGATAATTCCTGAATAAATATCACAAATTGTAATAAATTTGCAATTCATAGCACTTTAAACTTATTCTGGAGCAGAAAGCTGAGGGAGGGCAAGAAGATCATCAGGTAGGAAAACTTCATGAGGTTTGCAGATTTTGATCTGAGTATTTCCTCTCTAATATGGTTAAAAATTTGCTTCTTTATGCTTCCATAGTATAAATTAGATGTTAATTCATTTAGGAAATAGAATCCTAACTTGTTGGAAAAATAATAAATGTTAAAATTATTATTGCAGTCAGAAAATGTTATCTATTTTTCTCAAAAGTGACTTTTTAATAATGTGATTCTTAGGATGTTGATAGGGTTAGAAGACAACAAACATCCATTTGGAACAATAAATGATGAGAAATTCTAGACTTGAGGCTTTAGTCTGCTTACACTTCCTATTTCTATATCTCTACCTCCTTATGTGTAAAATAAAGGGATTCAAGTAGTTGATGGTCTAGCTATATTCTAGCTTTAACTTTAAATGACTTTATACTTAACTTTAGTGGACACCAGGTTGTTTTTTGTTTAATTGATAACATGACCTGAAGTAGACCATCTTGAAGGGACCATCTAGTTCTAGAATCCCTTAATTCTATGTTTCTTTAGAGTGGAAAATTTTTATTACAGCTCTGCGTATCTGCTTGGTTTTCACACTGTAGATGATGGGATTCATTACAGGAGGGATCAGCAGGTAAGTGTTAGCAATCATGGTATGCAGATAAGGTGGGGCTCGCTTTCCAAATCTGTGAACAAAGGACAGACTGATCAGTGGAATGTAGAATATAGCTACAGCCCCAATATGGGAGATACATGTGCTGAAGGACTTCTTCCTCTCCTCTGGGGAGGCAATACTGAGGACAGTCTTAATGATCAAAACATAGGAAAGGAGGATGAGGACTGAGTCCACACCAACAGTAGAAATCATGGCAGTCAGCCCAACTGCACTGTTGATCTTGGTGTCTGTGCATGAGAGCTTCATCACATCAGGATGGAAGCAGTAAGAGTGGTGGAGCTCACGGCTGTGGCAGAAGGAGAGTCGTTTAAGAAGTGCAACCATTGGTGTGAGCATTATGGTCCCCCTGATGACAACTGCCACCCCAATGTTACCTATTCTGGACTCAGTTAAAATAGTAGCATACCTAAGGGGCTTAGAGATGGCCACAAAACGATCAAAAGCCATAGCCAACAACACAGAGGATTCCATGACAGTGAACAGTTTAATAAAGAACATCTGGGACAGGCAGGCATTGAAGCTGATCTCCCTGGCATTGAACCAGAATATACCCAACATGGTGGTCAGTGTGGATATGGACAGCCCGAGGTCAGTGGTGGACAGCATGGAGAGGAAATAATACATGGGTTCGTGGAGGCTGGGCTGAGTGATAATGATGAAGAGAATCAGGCTGTTCCCCGAGAGGGCAGTTGCATAGAGAAGGCAGAAAGGAATGGAGATCCAGGTGTGGAAGGCTTCCAGCCCAGGAACACCAGTTAGCAGGAAGATGACAGGAGAGGATGTGATGTTCTGGAAAGCTGACATGTTGCATTAAAAGTACAGAATAAGTCTGAAATAAAAATGGCTACATTTGATTGTGTTTTAGGCCAATTACTAATAATTTTATTTAACAGATAAATGACCAAAATGAATATATACTATATGAAATATGAACAAATCACTTAAACTGATACAAATTTTTGTAAGATTTCAAATAATATAGTTATCCCCTGCCCATTTAAAAAAATTGTCCCAGCTCATAATTTTTATTTCCTGGAGCAATTCACTGTTAGTTCTATTTATACCACAAGACTTTTTCCCCACTTCTTTAGCCACAGATGACAGGACTAAGAATAGGTACTTTATGCTAGATTAGCCAGTTATATTTCATCCTTTTTGGGAATTTATATTGTATCAGAGAGGTATCACCGAATAAAATTAGGTGGTAACAAAACACAAAAATACTACATTTTCCACTGGTGTGGGAATAGAGAGACTTATAGTTGATGAAAGCTAGAAAATATTGAGGAAGAGATAGTTATGATAAAAAGTAACATTTATGAAGTGACAAATAAATAACTTAGGCACCAAAGGAATCATGAGCAGGTGCCTATAGCACCTACCCATTAAAAGGACACTTATATGTGGCACCTGGCTTGGCATTTGGAGAGATGGAGAGTTAGAATACAGACCTACCACCCACCTCCAGGCTTAGGGACAGAGGACACTCCCCTTTACCTGCATAGTGTGTTGCCATGCTTGTATGTGTTTCTGTCCTCAATCTGACTGAGACTAGTTCTGCAGAACAGATTTTGTCTATTTTGTGAAAACAAATTTCTTAGATGATACCTAATAGGATGTTATTGTTTTGTTTTTGAGGGAAAGTTATGTCTTTATTGAAAATGTCACATCTTTTTTTAACTGAGCTGAGAACTGCAGGTTAGGCAGATGAGTATGCATACATTGGAAAATGGGGCATGGGGAGACACAGATGAGGGGTGTGGTTGGAGAGTGCATAATGAATGAGAGGGAGCCAATTTGAGAATAGGGTCTTCAGTGGTGAAGAAAGGTACTGAGTGGATGACAGGAAGTAGAGGATAAAAAAGGGAATGGAGTGGAACTTAAATGTTTTCAGGCCACATGCATTCACCCAGATAAAGTGCCATCTTGAGGATCACCTGAAGAAATCTTAGTAGATCCCAGGCTCCTAGGACAGAGAAGCTCAGCCGGTCCCAGCACCTGGAAGGAAGCTCCCCCACCTCCATCCCAGGCTCCTAGGGCAGAGAAGCTTAGCCGGTCCCAGAACCTGGAAGGAAGCTCCCCCCCCACCATCCCAAGCTCCCAGGGCAGAGAAGGTGAGCTGCGTGGGCGCCAGAAGCACCCCCCCCCCCACCCCCATCCCAAGCTCCCAGGGCAGAGAAGCTGAGCC